ACAAGGGCCAAGCTTCTGGTTTTATAACAGTAAATCCTATTTTATCAAAGCACTGTTTTAATCAAAAAAAATTTATAAGTTACATGACTCAGTTACTCATTATAAATACAGATATTTTCTCTTCCCTCTGTTTTGTTAGTTTTCTACATATGAAATGCAAGCTCATGTCAACATTAAAAATGTTGAAACAAAATATCTCAATTTTGTCATATTCCATAATTAAGATAATATTTTTTAAAAATCACTCAGCTTTTTTCATTCCTCTAGAAAATAAGTAGGTGGAGGCTTAGCAGTATGCATTACTAAAAAAAGGTGTGTTACCAATAGAGCTTCATTTATAAGTTTCTGGAGCTCAAAAAAAATTTCTCAAATTCACTGTTATCCATGTTAATTACTTCCTCTTGATTGTCTGCCCTTTTTCCCCCAAAATCATTCCACTGAAGAATAGAGGGAAAGGAGGATAAAAGAATGATAGGGCTATCTGTTTTATCCTGCTCGCTTCAGGGAGCACCAAGCTCCCCTGATGAAATTCTCTTCTGGAGAAACCAGTGGCTAAGGCAGGATCTATTTCCAGTACAGGCCCTGGTCAGATACCAGCAACACACAGTCAGTCCCCAACTGGAAAAAGGAGCAGAGTGCAAAGGAAAGATTCGAGTGGAACTGAACTGCTGGGGTGAATTTTTCTGCTGTCCCTGTCCCTTCCAGCAGCCCTGTAGCATTACTGTGCAGAATGAGAAAGGTAGTAACAAAGTTACTAGCCTAAAGACAAAAATCGGTCTATAATTTAAGGAAAATAAATATATTAGATATTGGAGGGGTTTTTTTCTTTATATTTGTCTAGAGAGACTTTTCTCTGAAGGAACTTAAAGAATTTGAAGAAAGGTGAACATTATCATGTGTTTGATTTAGGTCTATGACAGATTTAAAGAAAAGAGAAATCAAGAGTCAAAAAGCTAATAGCTGATAACTGAGCAAATGTTGATATCTTCCCGGTGCAGAATAATCTAGTAATTGACAAGTGTTGTTTCCCGGTCTCTTTTATAATTGCTTCTAAAAAAAATGATATTCCTGTTCATTGTTTTACATAGAGAGCTTGTCTGAAGCACAAGCGACAATTGAAAATTTGTCCTAAAAACCACCCAAGATACAATTTGGGTGGATTTCCTGTATCTTGCTCTCAAAATTTAATGGCTGATGTGGAACCAGCCCTGTATGATCAGGATCATCAAGGATTTGTCCTGCTTTCTTTACATGTATTAGTACCTCGGAAAGATGAGGTGATAAAAGAACTGTGAGCAAGGCCACAGTCTGTGGTGACTGAGCATGGGCCAAAATCTTCTAAGGATGGTTCTAATTCCAGAGTTCCTGCAGTAATTTGATGGGAGGTGTCACTGTAATAATCTCAAAACCATGAAAATTTGGCTTCATTTTGAGATTTCTATTCAATAAGACAGAAAAATAATTTGGTATTAGATTTGACTTTGACAGCCTTAGTAGAAGTACAAAATATGATATCAATATTAATTTAGTAGAAGAGGGTACAAATGAATGACTCACATAGTCCTTATCTAAGGATTTTCATTCTTCATAGCTTGGTGATTCTGAGAATGTTTTTTGAAAGAAGCAAGCAAACAAAAGCCACACAACCTTGTGTGGATTTTTTATTTTTAAATAAAATTCTAGGAGGATTGACATGTTCAAAATAATCAGTATCACATTTGGGGGGACTTCTGGTTCTGTTGATGTGGTGCAGGTAGCCTGAAACTCACCTATATAAAATTGCACAAGCATCTTTGAAATACATCTGAAGTTGAAAGAGGTAAGGAAATTCTCCAAGGCTTGTGAAAAAAGCTGATGCTGCAGTTGTCCTGGAGTGAAGGGGTAAAGAGGACTGTAACAAAGGCACAAAAGTCAAAGCCCTGGGACTTTACAAAATTGAAGCTAAGATGTCCTCTCCCCTCTTCAACATAAAACAAAGGAAAGGGTGAACAGAAAGAAAAAGCTGTCCACTGGCATAGGGACATGTTAGGACAGCTTGTCTGCCTTAGCCTGGACTCAAGGTAGAATAAAAAGTAGTTTCTCTGAAAATTTGAAAGCCTAGGCTCTACCTCACCTGGGTTTAAAGTTCAAATTCACACAACCCCCTTAGTATGGCAACCCCCAAGCAAAGAAGTAAGGAAATGAACAAAGCTACGAAAAGGAGAAGGAAGGAAAGGAGGGAGGGAGAGAGGAACTGACTTTTTTAAAAAAATGTTTTGAGTAATACCAAATATTCAAGAAAGAATAAAAGCTGAATTGAGCCTGCTAATTTTTGTTTTAGAAATATTGCATTATGATCATAAGATTATTAATATGATGTGTGGTATCATGGCTTAGGTGGGTTTATTTCAGGAATTTAAGGATAATCTGTCACTAGAAAATATATCCATGTATAGTAGAAGATGGAAAAAATAAAAATCAAATTTAGGATAATAGTAATGGGGAATTCATTTAGGTAAGGTTATGCAGGAGTGAGGGCTTCAAAAGAGTCCGTAATACTTTATTTTTTAAGTAGTAGGTACAAGATGTTCTTTTATTTATTTGTTTATTTATTTGTATATCTGATAGAGTTCATTCTGAAAAACCATTCACATGAACTAAGGTGATGTATCACATTCACAGTTAAAAAGAGAAAAACTATATCGTCTCATCACTAGTTGCATAAAAAGTATTTGATAACATTAAATTTCCATTCATACTTTGCAAAAACTCATCAAACTATGAACATATATAAGTGAACATTTTAAAGCTGATTGAGCGTATCAACCAAAAATTATATTAAACATTATTTTAAAAGTGAAATGTTAGAAGTAATAAGACAAGAATGTCTTAAGAATTGTACTTAGAAGTCCTAGTTAAGACAGTGAGACAATAAAAAGAAATAAAATGTGTGAGAATTAGAAAAGAAGAAAAACGTCTGTCATTACCTGCAGACAAATTTATTGCTTATAGAGAACATCCAGGATTATTTAATGATAAACAGACCCCCCAAATATTCAGAAATTATTTGGTGCAAAATTTATACATAAAAATGTATTGTTTTCCTATACACGAGAAGCCAGCAATTAGAAATATAATTTTTTAAAATTTCCACTTACAATATCAAAAAAATATTTAAATCCCTGTTACAAAATCTAATTAAAGACATATCAGATATTTATAGAGAAAATTAGAAATCTTTATTGAAAGGAATCAATGAATAGTTACATCATATTCATGGATGGGATGATTTAATATCATTAATTTGGTGTCTTACTAAATTAACTTTTTAATTAAATGTAATTCCAGTTAAATTTGAGGAGGGCCTTTGGTAGAATTTGATGAGCTGAATCTAAAATTTATATGGAAGAGCAAATGGCCAAGAATAGCCAAGTCTATTCTGGAAAAGAACAAGACAGAAGGGGCTTCAGTTATCTAGATGCCAAAATTTCTTAAGGTATAGCAATTAAAGCAGTGTGATATTGCCACACATATAGTCAAATAGACAAATGTTTTCGACCAATAGCCCAGAAAACATACACATTTATATGTGGAAACATGATATATAACATAATTATATCTTATATGCAAATCTTGTATACTTAGCTATGTAAAAAATAAATTAAAATTCTATCCCTATCTTGTACCTTATGCAAAATATAATCCACCTAAATGTGAAAAGCAAAGTCTTAACATTTTTGAGAGATCATGTAGGAATATATTCCTGTAGTTTTGGGTAAGATAGACTTTCTCTAAGAGGACACAAAAGTACAACTCATAAAGAAAGAAGTTGCTAATTAAATTATATTGAAATTCAGACCTTTCAATTAACAAAAAGAGCACCACAAAGTGAAAAACATGGCATTGATTGGGAGAAAACAGGTGCATTGAATAAAACTAACAAAGGATTCACATCCAGAATAAAGAAGCCTGCAAATCAATAAGGAAAAGAAAAACAAATCAATTGAAACATGGGCAAGAATGTGAGTAAATGATTCTCAGAAGAAGAAAACCAAACAGACAATATACGTATGCAAAGATGATCAACCTCACTAATAATCATGAAAATGCAAATTAGCACTAAAATAAATATCATTTTGCATCTACCGGATTGGCAACAGGAAAGTACCTGACAATATTACAGAGTAACAAAAATGTGGAGAAACAGAAACTTACCTATATCATTGTTGGGAATGTAAATTTGTACAACTACTCTGAAGATCCATTTAACAATTTATGGGTATAATAAAGGCAAGATGCATATACTGTACAACCAGGAAATCCTAGTTCTAAGTGCATGCTGTAGAGAAACCCTCACATATGTGCCTTAAGGGATTTATAATGTTCACAGCAGCAGTTTGTAAGAGCAAAAGTAAAAATCCTAAATCTCCATCAACAAGAGATATAGGAAGACAAATTGTGATATGTTCCTCTACTGAAATACTATACATTCATGAAAATTAATGAACTAGAGCCACATGAAGCAATATAAATAAACTCAAAAATGTAATGTGAGGGGAAAAAACAAGTTGCAATTACATGCAGTAATGTAACATTTGCATAAAGTTTAAGGCATGCAAAATGACACCATATGTTATTTATGGGTACAGCCCTACATATGGAGTAAATCCGTATGTATGAAGTAAATGTATGGACATTTTCAGGGAAACGATACTCCCTAACTCGCTAAATGCAGTATAGTGATCACCCCAGGAAGGACGGAAGGGGACTGGGAACAGGGGTTCCAGTTATTTATTTTATATATTACTCATTAAAAAAAAAAACAATCCTCTAAAACTATTTTGACAAAATGTTAAGATTTAACAAAGCTGGCTGGTAGGTACAGGAGTGCCTTTTACATCATTCTGCACACATTTTTGTATCCTTAAAATAGTTCATAATTTTAAAAGTTGTGTGTTCTCTGCCACCAAGTTCACCTTAACGACAAGTTGACGTTTACCCTCCCTCCTTGCCATTTGTAGGTGATTATACGCCTACAAAAGGAAATCCAGGAACTGAAGGATGAGCTGGCCATTGTCACTGGGGAGCGGAGGACAGAGGCCCTCACAGAAGCAGAGCTCATTCAGTAAGCCTGCAGACTTCTTTCTTTTTCTTTAACAGTGAAAGTTTGTGTTAACTTCTTTGTTGGCCCTAATGTTATGAATTCACCTCAAAGCATGAAAGTCTCCTGGGACAGTCTGAACTTGCATTTAGGCGCCAGTGAAGAGTGGCAGCTTTCCATGAAAAGCTGGAAGGCTGGCAATGTTTTTGCCGCCTCAGCTTTGAGGAAGTGAAGAACAGAGCATAGAGAGGATGGGAATATCCTTCTCATGCCAGCTGAAGAAAAGGGACTGTATAATAGTCATGCCGTTTTAAAACACACACACCAAACACCCTAAAGCTGTGGATCTCAGATCTGAAAGGAATTCAAGAAACATCCTTTGTATTAAACAGCATCTTGCTGCAAGCACCAATTTATCCCATGCCAAAGTAAGCTCTCTGCTTTCATAAAGAGATGGCCCATATATTATAGTTCAAACACTCGAACTGGGAATGAAAGCAGGTATTGAGGACTTTCTGCAAGTGTGGCATCTTTCAGAACCTTTGCATTTGCAGCCATATGGCCTATCAGTGGCACTGTGTGACTATCATTCTCTCTCTGATCACGAGCCACAGTGGTGGGCTTTCTTGTTGTTTCTGTGCTGCTTATTATGCACTTAAGCATTTGTAGAGTGGTAATAATGGACAAGGCTTACAAGGCAGTGGCATTCTCTATTTTCCAAATAAGAAGTAGAACTAGACAAGATTTTTCTAAAGATAAACTTCCATTTCACCTAACTTCCCTCAACTGAGAAAATGGTAAATAAAAGAGACAATAAGAGTAGTTTTCTTTAAACTATTTCATGGCTGCCCCCGAGGTAGGTCTAAAGCTTGAGAAGCTTTAAGGAAGGTTTCTGTTATGTTCAAAGCTTTCGCTCCTCCAGAATTAGTTTCCTAATTTTAGAACACTGTATTTTATAATATGATAGGCTCCTAAAGCTTTCCTTACTAAACTACTTTGTGGCATATTTGCAATTCAGATGAAATATATTGCCCAAAACTCACATTTTTAAGAATTTCATATCATTCCTTCAAATAACTTGGGCTATCTTAGATCCTGAGAACACTACGTAAAGAATTCCTTAACTACGGTGCTCCTTTCCCCTCTAAGAAAGTAATTACCAAATATTATCATTGAAAATGTCTCTTTAGAATTTTGATCTTCTAGTCAGAATCCAGCCAGGAAAATAAAACCTCTCTAGGCCTTTCAACAGAGGAATTTAATATAGGAAATTGATTTCATAGACGATGGTATTGTTGAGAAGCTAAACAGGGAATGATGCAGCACCCCAGATATCAGTAACAGCAGGAGCTGCTACCCTAGGAATGGAGGGACAGCAGAGAAGGTGATGTTACCAAAACCTAAGATCTGGAGCTGACTGGCAGTAGCTAAGACCATAGTGAGTGCTGCCTGAGAGGAGCTGTGGTCACTGAAGTGCCGCAGGTGCTATTTGAGATGTCATGGGGAAGGGAGGATCCTGGGAGGCTCCCTCACCCCCCTTCTAGCCTTCCACCAACGCCTCCCCTTCACTGAACTTACCCAGAAGCCAGTGTTAGAGTCAGGGAAAGTAGTTTCCTGTGATGGAGAGTAAAACAGGGGAAGAAATTGGGTCTAAGAGCAACGTATCAAAATAAGTACCAGTGTTTTCTCTAATTCCTGTATGTTGCTTAGGAGGCTCAGTTTGAGATGGTGGTTTCAATATGTCAGACTGAGTAAGTATACTTTGCAGGTTCTTTTGACTGCACCACATCTAGAAAATTATAGAACTGATACAAAGAAACACATGAATGTCTAGCCATACCTAAAAATAAGAAGCAGATTTCTTAAGAGACTAGGGGCTTTAGGGAATTCCTGAGAGACTGAAAGGTGGGGGTTGAGATGAGCAAGAGAAAAGGACAGCCCAAGACACAGTGAAGACACGATAAAGGATCCATGTCTAGAAGTGGTGGAACCTTGAGCAGGAGAGGGCTAGGCACAGCCAATGAGCATTTGGAAGAGCTATTGTAGAGGGAGCAGTTTGCCCTATGAATCCCTGTGCACCTCCCTGTCCCAGTGACTAGGATGGAGAAACAGGGAAAGGCCCCAGGTAGCTTACAGGGAGGGAACAGATCAGGTCTGAAGACCAGCTGCTGTCTTCAGCTCTCCCGTCCCATTCTCACTGAAAACAATAAGGAACGCAAGCACCCACGGCTGCTTCAGCCCCACCCAACACTGGCCGCCTAAGCTGAGATACCTGAGTCTAGAAAAGAGGAGCTCACAGTCAGGAAGGACTAGAAATAGAAATATGAAGACTGCCAAAAGTCTGAGAAAGTCAGAAACAAGAAGAATTTACAACTTGCAGGGCCTTAGAACTATACTTTGCAGGAGGGGTGATTAATATCCTTAGAGAAATATAATATTACATCCATGAAACAAGAACAGGATGTTGATTTTTATAAAACAGAATCAAGAGAGCTTGGAAATGAAAACATGTAATTGCTATCATTATGAACTTAGCAGACGGCATAATATAATGAAAAACTGATATAATATTACATCCATGAAACAAGAACAGGATGTTGATTTTTATAAAACAGAATCAAGAGATCTTGGAAATGAAAACATGTAATTGCTATCATTATGAACTTAGCAGACGGCATAATATAATGAAAAACTGAGAGGCAGGTTAGTGAGCTAGTAAGATGAGGGTGAAGGAATTCTTCCAGAGTATTAAAGGAAAAAGAGATAGAAAGTATCAAAGAAAAGAGTCATGGAGAATAGCTCTAGATTTACCAATACTAATTGATAGGAGTTTGTGGAGGAGAAAATAGACATAATGCGGAGGAGCCAGTAGTTGAAGAAATAATAGCTAAGAATTTCCTAGAAGGGAAAAAAGACATGACTTCAGAATCAAAGAGTTACCAAGTTCTAAGTCACATAATCATATTGAAGAAAAATTTTAGACCCTTAAAATATAGAAAAGAATCCCAAAAGTTAACAGAGAGGGAAAAAAATTAGTAGAAATCAATAATCTGATTTAGGGAGACCTCTCATCAACAATTCTGGAAACAAGAAGTTCTAGTGCTAAAAACAAGCAAAACAGGAAGCACTTTAAATGTATATTTCTATTATCTTGCCAAATTAGTATTCACATCTGAAGATGAAATAAAGGTATTTTGCAGACATACAAACTTTCAGACAGAAAGGTTACCACCCTAGATCCTTTCTCAAAGAACTACCACAGACTATATTTAGCACAAAGGAAAATACAGCAAAGTATAAGAGGGAATAAGAATGAGCCAATTTTGTTATATCTTCCTTATGATACTTAATATTGTATAAAATTCACATTATGTCTTTTATTAACTTGCCATTTATTCCATAAATGAATTTTTCTGTTTAAAAGTTATCAAATAGCAATCAAACTTTTCTTTCACAGGATTTTGGAGGGTAGAATGGAGAGAAATAAAATTGTGAGAACAGATTAAAATACTGGAGGAGTCCGAGATCTTGGATCGATTTCGGTTGATCCATAAATAACAAACACGCAATGTCAATTTGAACAGATTCTGCATAGAGAGTATGTAGGGTTGCCATTAGTTTTTTTGTGCAGTTAGTTCATTCATTTATTCGTTTATTCATTCAACTTTTTATTATTCATCTAACATTCACAAAACTCCACCCAAGACCCTGAGAAGAACACAAAGATAAGCACAACCTAGATCCTGCTCCCAAGGGGCTTGCAATTTAGTGGTGCTGAAAGACATAAGCACAAGTAATGATGATGCAATATAGAAGCATTATGAAAAGATATAAACAGAACACTATGAAAATGCATAGATAGTAATGATTACTTTTGAGCTTAGAAATCTTGTAAAACTAGTTAATGCACTACTAAATAAACTTCAGCAATTCCCAATGTAAAGACTTCTCTGCTGTGGAGAGAACATTGTGTCTTACTAGTGATTTCTGATCAGCGATTAGGGAGAACAAACTTTTGCTAACCATATCCTCCCGCCAAAGCAAAGCATAGGGTTTCACAACAATCCAGTAAATTTGGTGACTGTTCACACTGACTGTGAATTATTCAGATAATGTGTTTTGTTCTTGTTTTTGTTATATTGTTGTTCTCACTATGTTTTGCCATAATTAGCTAGACTGAGTATTAGTACAACCTGAATTTCAACAGATTTAAGTCTTTTATCATTTTAAAGTAAAAGAGGTAAATTGAAATTTGCCCCTAATGTGTCACTGCTGTTTAACACTGTTAGTCTATACTCCTTTGTCTTCTAGGGCCCCCTGACATTTACTCAGAAATGTGAATCAGCTTCAGTCCTCCCATTGCACCCAAACTCCCCAGGTAGCGGGGGCAGGAAGGGGAGAGTGACGTTGGAGAGAGGAAGAGTCCCACAGCTTGGCAGGACAGAGTGGCGGAAACGCTGTAGCTCCCATCCACTTCTCTGTCCTGCTGTTCCTGGGCTTATGCTTATGGGGATGGCATAAGGACATTCCTGTCAGGGTTTCTCTGAAGGATATCAGAAAGCAGATACTTAGTAGTAGATATGGTATTCTATGTAGTATGCATTGGGCTGTTTGGAGATGTTTATTAATATGCAGCCCTATCAAATTTTTTGAACCATTTCCCAGCATTTCAGTTCTTAATGTAAATATTTGTTGCATTGAGTTGGATGCTTTAATTGAAGAGGATTTCAGATGTCAGCCAGCTATTGTGATATTTTTAGTTTGTATCTTTTTTTTTTTTTTTTTTTTGGCCTGGATAAATTTGAAAAGAGACAGCTGGATGAAGAGTGTATAGCCAAGTTAATGTTTATATAGAACTTCTTGGGTGAAGATTTGATTATGATTTATTCTTTAAACACATACATCTTTGTTCCTCTGGTAAAACAATAAGCCTGTAGATCTTTGCCTAGGATGGAAGCATTATATCCTGGCCTAAATCTAAATGAGTGAAATATTTTATGTATAGCAACATTTTACTTCTGAGA